ATGGTTTCATATAAACAAGATGTGTGTGCAAGATCGTGATGCTCAATGGTTATCATGAGTGTTACGACCGGGTAGTTATCATCAGTTAATATACTTTTCACGTCAAATTTAATAGTTTTTTCAAATCCTATGAAACTTATTGATGTGTTTAGCATTTGATAGATGAGTATTATGGTTAGTATAGCTCGGAGTTTATGCTAAAATTAAATAACAAAAATAATTATACTTGTTACTAAAAGTTATTAGAAACTTACATTTGTATATACTTTGAGTTTTCTTAAGATATAAATATATTTATTAAATTTTACATACAGTAACAGATTTAAGTGATTTATTATTTGTGACTTAAAGATATTATTTTTTGTAAAAGCAATGAAATATCTCAATAAACCAATGAAACTGGTTCCGTGCCATAGACTCAATATATTGGCGATACTTATGATTAGTCCGATGAACGATATTTTTGGTGAATAAATTATCTCAAGATAATAATTATGATCATATTCAAGTCTGTAAAACACCACGTTGCTAATAATACCGGCGATAGTCATGCCAGTAAGGTAGACATTATCTACAACACGAGTAATAAATAAAGTGTCAATACATGGGACAGGACATTTGTGTTGGCAATATCTATATATTTGATTATTAAGTTGATTATCAATATTAATGTAGAAATTTTTGCAAAATATTACGTTAGGTTTAGTATAATTATCCATTAATTGAATAGTTAACAAACTATTATATTTGGGAATACAATGATAGTATTTCAAGTATGCATTTTCATAGCATTTGTTCAGACAATGAAATTGTGTTTTATTTTCCGGATATTCATAGCATTGGGTGTCATATGGTTTCGGCAATCGATTGAATGAATATCTAATTATTTTAATTAAAACATTCATATTATCTACATTTAAGTGGTCTTTAAATTCAAACATACTATCAGTCATTAGAGGCAATGAATTCTGCGAATGAATAATGAATTTCTTTTTCAAAAAACTAATTTTATTGTAATCGCTATCAGTGCCCAACACTTCAATAAAATTTGCAAGCAACTTTAAATTAAATGATTTTTTACCAAGTAAATTAGTATTTTTACTAACATTTGCGTACAATGTATTACATTTTCCCAATGGTGATGATATTTGACTTAATAATTTACAAATACTTTTCTCATTATTAAAACAATATATAAAACTTGAATAAAAACTTATTTCATTATTTGATGCATTTATGTAGTTATTATTTATTTGAATGATATTTCTGTTAAAATCGTCTCGATCATTTACATCTAAATATGTTTTAATAAACTGTTTATAAGACTCATTATCAATAATACTTTTTATTACACTGTTTTGAAATAGCAATTCAACATATTTTATGGCTGAGTGTATTAAGTAATGTTTAGTAATGTTATTAATATAGGTATCATTGCTATTAATTTTAGGTAATTTTGATGCAAACCAACGTGTTTGAAATTTAAACGCCCCTGGTGATTTAAAAACAATATTTTTGAAATATTTTTTATATGATTCATCAAATAAAATGTCTTGAAATATGTTTTCATAGCATAGAGTTATAGCCGGAATCGATTGCAACGGAATCTCATTTGTTTTCATTGGTTTTAAATCCAGAATTCTTATCGATGTTTGTGTCGAGTATTTCAAGTAGTTATTTGTTAATTCATGAATTTGTATTAATATTATAGGCAGTGTCAATACAACTAAAATTTTTGTCCAGTTCAATTTTTCAAGATATGTTACTAAGGTGACCAGAACGTCCTCCGTGGGGAGGATTGTCCTCCTTTGGACCTTTCAGAACACTGTCCTCCCCGGTGTCTGAGGAGGACGTTAAGATGTCCTCCTTGAACATAAATTGCATAGAATTCCTCTTTTTTTGCTAATTTTATGTGTTTTATAGTAAGTTTATGTATATAAATGTGTTAATTCCAGTAGTTTTATTGAATGCAATACTATTTTTTACAAAATACTGTTTAAAGATTGTTTTTTGGAGTAAAGTGTATTCAATAAATATAGTAGTTTTATAAAGTTAATTATTTAAAATTTAATTAGTTTGTAAGAATATCTCGAATTTATATGATAAGTATCTTAAGTTATTTAAGTGTATACAGACAAACAATCAATTCAAATTTAAAAGTAGCCTGTCCTCCTCACGTCCTCCCCATAACATTGCATTTATAGCAAATGTCCTCCTTGGGGCTCAAAAACTTCTGGTCACCCTATATGTTACAGTGGTTTTGATTATTTTAAATAATATTTTTAGTAACTTTGTTACTTTAGTGTTGATATAATAGTTTGCCAAATAGTTCAGACAGGTCAATATTTTCTTAATCAAAGCACTGGTATCTATGAAAGACATCCCAAACCACAAACCAATGAGTCCTCCGATGTTTGACAGGAAGTCAACGAATGAATACTTTTTGTCAGAATTGTAGTGAAATTCTTGATAACTTTTGTATTTAATTTTTATAATACTTTCAGTCAGTCCTGTAAACTTTTTGTCCCCAAACTCTAACGAATAGTGTATTTCATTGCAATCTTTTGCACAATTGTTTCTACAATAGTTTGTATTAACAGAATAATCTGTATTTGTATGATTAATACCACATATTTTATATTGTGTTTGACTCGCATTCATAAGAATAAACTCTTCATTGATGTAAGGATTGGGTAAACATTCAAATGATGTGTTGTAAAGGTTTTCAATACATTCAATGTAACAATTCCTAAAGCCTTCATGAAATAGTTAATAAAAATAATAATAATTAAGAAATAAAATATTATAATAAATAAATGTATACCAGTATTAGTACAGAAGTCCATATAAGGTGTTGAAAGTAAGTTCACAAAAATCTTTGTAATCTTTAAACGTCCAGTGATTCCTGAATTTAATGTTTTAATTGCCGTCTCTTTTGTTGGCATAAATTCTTTGCTTATTTTATTAATAAATATATAAAATACAAAATAATCGTCAAAATATAGCCGATTTATTGAATTCTCCTCATTGTAAATACTTTGTTCAAATTTTGTATAATTAGTTTCAAAGTAGCCATTAATTATAAGATCTTGATATTTGTTATAAGAGATGTTAAACTCAATGAAGTCGTCGTCAATGAGATACAGGTTATCAGTATTTGAATAGAAATACGTGAAACATATTCCGAAGTCTTTATTCCCATAAATAGTCTCCANTACAGGTTATCAGTATTTGAATAGAAATACGTGAAACATATTCCGAAGTCTTTATTCCCATAAATAGTCTCCAAAACGGCATAACTTTGCGAACAATCAGTCATTACTTGAGAATCACTGCTATTATTGTCATTTGAATTTATTTTTTCTTTTGAATGCAATTTTGCCGAACATCTAATCAATTCATTGCCTTTTATTGTAAACTTATCGTACAAATCGCTGAATGAATAATTTTCTAACAAATTATTTTGATATTTCCAATAAAATTTATTTAAATAATAATTTTTGGCATACAATAAATTATCACATATGATTTCTGTATTTCTAAGACTATTTTTGTAATATTTATAACATTGTTCCCTTAAATAATAAGCATTCTGTTTAGCATTATGTTTGTATTTATATTTATCGGTTAAATTAAAATATTTATTAATTTTCATTTTATCGAAAAACACATGCCTTTCCGTACAGACAGTAATCGGCGGTAAATCCAGTCTTTCCGATGGTTTAACACTAAGTCTGTAAACATATGGATAACTGAAGTACTCTTTTGTCACTTCTATTCCTCCGTAGAATAGCACTGAAA